TGAAAAATATAATAAAGTGTATTATAATAAAGATAACAAATGTTTGATAGAATAAGGATAGGATCAACTTCAATGTCCCTGAAGCATCTTAGAAAATTGGATGAAACCTAAAAGGTGAGGAACATGACCTCCGAGATGGATATCAGTTCACATTAAGCATGCATAATAAAAAATAAAAAACTCCACATTAATTGTCTGGAAATTCTAAGCAATATCTCTGAAAATCCCCTGACACAAATAGCTGTTGTTTTATTAATAAAACAGCCTAAGGATACAGAGCTGGAGCATGTCATTTTATGACTAGATGGTTTGTTCTGTTGTACTTTCCTGGTCTAGAGACACTAATAAATGAGGTCTGCTGTTTGTTCGTGGTCCTTTCCTGCAGTCTCCTGGCCTCATGGGTGGAATGTTATTAATAAACATTATTTTCTAAAGACTTTTTTTTTTTTATCAACCCGTAGCGGGTTGATAGCGACAATTGATAACCTTTCAGACAAAAAAGTGCTGCATCAGAAGTATCTGTACCTTTTCAGACAGTAGAATTCTGCTCCTGCATAGAATGTTCAGTATTGTTTCCCCTGACAACAAACATTGCTGATAGATGTTCTGTTGTGTTGTTTTTTTATGGTAGGGTAGATAGATGTGTTTTTCTTTCTACTAAATGTATTGGTATGCCATAAATGTTATAAATTGATTTGCATTTTAAATGAGGGAAATAAGTATTTGACCCCCTCTCAATCAGAAAGATTTCTGGCTCCCAGGTGTCTTTTATACAGGTAACGAGCTGAGATTAGGAGCACACTCTTAAAGGGAGTGCTCCTAATCTCAATTTGTTACCTGTATAAAAGACACCTGTCCACAGAAGCAATCATTCAAATCAGATTACAAACTCTCCACCATGGCCAAAGAGCTCTCCAAGGATGTCAGGGACAAGATTGTAGACCTACACAAGGCTGGAATGGGCTACAAGACCATCGCCAAGCAGCTTGGTGAGAAGGTGACAACAGTTGGTGCGATTATTTGCAAATGGAAGAAACACAAAATAACTGTAAATCTCCCTCGCCCTGGGACTCCATGCAAGATCTCACCTCGTGGAGTTGCAATGATCATGAGAACGGTGAGGAATCAGCCCAGAACTACACGGGAGGATCTTGTCAATGATCTCAAGGCAGCTGGGACCATAGTCACCATGAAAACAATTGGTAACACACTACGCCGTGAAGGACTGAAATCCTGCAGCGCCCGTAAGGTCCCCCTGCTCAACAAAGCACATATACAGGCCCGTCTGAACTTTGCCAATGAACATCTGAATGATTCAGAGGAGAACTGGGTGAAAGTGTTGTGGTCAGATGAGACCAAAATGGAGCTCTTTGGCATCAACTCAACGTGTTTGGAGGAGGAGGAATGCTGCCTATGACCCCAAGAACACCATCCCCACCGTCAAACATGGAGGTGGAAACATTATGCTTTGGGGGTGTTTTTCTGCTAAGGGGACAGGACAACTTCACCGCATCAAAGGGACGATGGACGGGGCAATGTACCGTCAAATCTTGGTTGAGAACCTCCTTCCCTCAGCCAGGGCATTGAAAATGGGTTGTGAATGGGTATTCCATCAAGAAGAAGCACATTAAGGTCCTGGAGTGGCCTAGCCAGTCTCCAGACCTTAATCCCATAGAAATCTGTGGAGGGAGCTGAAGGTTCGAGTTGCCAAACGTCAGCCTCGAAACCTTAATGACTTGGAGAAGATCTGCAAAGAGGAGTGGGACAAAATCCCTCCTGAGATGTGTGCAAACCTGGTGGCCAACTACAAGAAACGTCTGACCTCTATGATTGCCAACAAGGGTTTTGCCACCAAGTACTAAGTCATGTTTTGTAGAGGGGTCAAATTCTTATTTCCCTCATTAAAATGCAAATCAATTTATAACATTTTTGACATGCGTTTTTCTGGATTTTGTTGTTGTTATTCTGTCTCTCACTGTTCAAATAAATCTACCATTAAAATTATAGACTGATCATTTCTTTATCAGTGGGCAAACGTACAAAATCAGCAGGGGATCAAATACTTTTTTCCCTTACTGTATGTACCCTTTCAGACAAACATACCATAGCCGAGGTGCTTTCAAGGCGCAACATTCCATGTCTGAAAGGGGTACATTTTTTGTTACATTTCAGTCTTCTATGATGTACAGTTGAAGTCGGAAGTTTACATACACTTAGGTTGGACTCATTAAAACTTGTTTTTCAACCACTCCACAAATTTCTTGTTAACAAACTATAGTTTTGGCAAGTCGGTTAGGACATCTACTTTATGCATGACACAAGTAATTTTTCCAACAATTGTTTACAGACAGATTATTTCACTTACAATTCCAGTGGGTCAGAAGTTTACATACACTAAGTTGACTGTGCCTTTAAACAGCTTGGAAAATTCCAGAAAATAATGTCATGGCTTTAGAAGCTTCTGATAGGCTAATTGACATCATTTGAATCAATTGGAGGTGTACCTGTGGATGTATTTCAAGGCCTACCTTCAAACTCAGTGCCTCTTTGCTTGACATCATGGGAAAATCAAAATAAATTAGCCAAGACCTCAAAATAAAATTGTAGACCTCCACAAGTCTGGTTCATCCTTGGGAGCAATTTCCAAACGCCTGAAGGTACCACGTTCATCTGTACAAACAATAGTACGCAAGTATAAAAACCATGGGACCACGCAGCCGTCATACCACTCAGGAAGGGGGACGCGTTCTGTCTCCTAGAGATGAACGTACTTTGGTGCAAAAAGTGCAACTCAATCCCAGAACAACAGCAAAGGACCTTGTGAAGATGCTGGAGGAAACAGGTACAAAAGTATCTATATCCACAGTAAAACGAGTCCTAAATCGACATAACCTGAAAGGCCGCTCAGCAAGGAAGAAGCCACTGCTCCAAAACTGCCATAAAAAAGCCAGACTACGGTTTGCAACTACACATGGGGACAACGATCGTACTTTTTGGAGAAATGTCCTCTGGTCTGATGAAACAAAAATAGAACTGTTTGGCCATAATGACCATCGTTATGTTTGGAGGAAAAAGGGGGGCTTGCAAGCCGAAGAACACCATCCCAACTGTGAAGCACGGGGTGGCAGCATCATGCTGTGGGGGTGCTTTGCTGCAGGAGGGACTGGTACATTTCACAAAATAGATGGCATCATGAGGAAGGAATATTAAGTGGATATATTGAAGCAACATCTCAAGACATCAGTCAGGAAGTTAAAGCTTGGTTGCAAATGGGTCTTCCAAATGGACAATGACCCCAAGCATACATTTTTTGTTACATTTCAGTCTTCTATGATGTACAGTTGAAGTCGGAAGTTTACATACACTTAGGTTGGACTCATTAAAACTTGTTTTTCAACCACTCCACAAATTTCTTGTTACAAACTAGTTTTGGCAAGTCGGTTAGGACATCTACTTTATGCATGACACAAGTAATTTTTCCAACAATTGTTTACAGACAGATTATTTCACTTACAATTCCAGTGGGTCAGAAGTTTACATACACTAAGTTGACTGTGCCTTTAAACAGCTTGGAAAATTCCAGAAAATAATGTCATGGCTTTAGAAGCTTCTGATAGGCTAATTGACATCATTTGAATCAATTGGAGGTGTACCTGTGGATGTATTTCAAGGCCTACCTTCAAACTCAGTGCCTCTTTGCTTGACATCATGGGAAAATCAAAATAAATTAGCCAAGACCTCAAAATAAAATTGTAGACCTCCACAAAATGGCTTAAGGACAACAAAGTCAAGGTATTGGAGTGGCCATCACAAAGCCCTGACCTCAATCCTATAGAAAATGTGTGGGCAGAACTGAAAAAGCTTGTGCGAGCAAGAAGGCCTATAACCTGACTCAGTTACACCAGCTCTGTCAGGAGGAATGGGCCAAAATGCCCCCAACTTATTGTGGGAAGCTTGTGGAATGCTACCCAAAACGTTTCACCGAAGTTAAACAATTTAAAGGCAATGCTACCAAATACTAATTGAGAGTATGTAAACTTCTGACCCACTGGGAATGTGATGAAAGAAATAAAAGTTGAAATAAATCATTCTCTCTACTATTATTCTGACATTTCACATTCTTAAAATAAAGTGGTGAACCTAACTGACCTAAGACAGGGGATTTTTACTAGGATTAAATGTCAGGAATTGTGAAAAACAGAGTTTAAATGTATTTGGCTAAGGTGTATGTAAACATCCGACTTCAACTGTATATAAAGTGTAATATTGGGATGCCAACTTGAAGTTGAATACATTCAACTCTATATCTGACATGGTACAGGTGTCTCCTTTTTTTAAAGCCCATAACCATGTGTGTGGGGTGTATACTTTTGTTTCAAAGTACATTTGTTTAAGACTACCAAGAAACACTGTGTGACCCTGATTTAGCCCACTGCAGTAAAAGGTTAAATAACAAATAATGTACACATATCGCTTAAATATACAGATAGCTAATGAACCTGCTCCAAAATATCATGTCCTATACAGCGTAGGTGCTGCTGTGTTAGTTTACAACTTCTGGAGCCGATCCAGAGATCATACCCATGATTGGGTTATCAGAGTCCTTTTTTGACCACAGGAAGATGTATGGGGGTGGGGGTGCAGCGATTTTTAGCTGATGGGGAAATACAGGACTAGTAGAGGCCAAGTGCACTACTTTTGTGAGAAATGTATATTACTTTCTTAATATATTTTTTAGATCAATTTTTCAGGGGGTGCTGCAGCACCCTCAGCACCCCTACGTCCTGCGGCTATGCTTACAGAACTTCTGTTTGCAAAGACTTATGCAAGAACCACCACGTGGTCTAAAGGGTTGTGCTACAGTATAAAGCTCAGCCTGTTACAATAAGCAGCACACAGGAGCTTCACATGAGAAGAGTCCTATCACTTGCACTCCCTTCCGCAAGAACCTGCACTCCCTTCAAGCAAGACAGCCTCAGACATTCTTAATCCTGACAACAATGTCACCTCCAAGCACTACAGGTAAGTCGATGTTCTCCAAAGAGGGTTAAAGCATTTTGCAGTGTTACATTGCCTAATTTATTTTCATCTCAACTTTAAAACATATGACTATTCAGTTTGTAAAAAAAATGTCTAAAGAGTAATTTATTGTAGGCCTATTAATCCCCATAAGCTCCTTTAATACAATGTCTAGTTCTGCGATGATATCTACCTGCTGTTTTGCTTTGTAGGTCTTCAGGTGTTTGAGTAATAATATTGTCTGGACTTTTTCCTTGCAGACCTGAAAAAGACTAGGTCAAATAAGAATAAGGATCATCATTACACAGACGTGCACGGCCTGCCATGCATTGAGAAGATCGTGGCCTCTGTGGATGAGACCCCAGAGGCCATCACCACTAATATCAGTGGAACTATCCCAGAGTGGATTAGTGGCAATTTCCTCAGAAACGGACCAGGAAAGTTTGAGATTGGTAATAATAAGTGAGTATATTTTAACAAGCTATATACGTTTGACCAGAATCAGACGAGGTGTAAATAACTATTGCTGCATATATGAAATGATTCACTGTAGGTCTCACCATGTCAAAGTACTATATTAAATATTAATTCCGCTTCTCAGATTCAACCACTGGTTTGATGGAATGGCCCTCCTGCATCAGTTCAAAATCGCGGGCGGCCAGGTGACCTACAAGAGCCGCTTCCTGGGCAGTGACTGCTACATGGCTAACAAGGAGAGCAGCCGCATCGTTGTGTCTGAATTCGGGACTGTGGCCATGCCAGACCCCTGCAAGAACTTCTTCCAGCGCTTTCTATCCCGGTTCGAACTGCCAAGTGAGTTTACAGTTTGAGAGTTTGAGGTCAAAGTGTGGAGAATATATGACAGACAGAATTGATTTGCGTTGTGCTAATCACATGAAAACTGTCTTTGGTCCACAGAAGCGTCAGATAATGACAATGTGAGCTTTGTGACGTACAAGGGTGATTACTACGTGAGCACGGAGACAAACTTCATGCACAAGGTGGACCCTGAGACGCTTGAAACAAAGGAAAAGGTAGGCCTTGGTTAATAATATATTGCATCGGAGCTACTAGTGTGCAGCTTTTCCTTTCCTTTTTAAAGGCCTACACACACTACCTACAGTAGCCTACATACAGTTCAAAGAGTTCCATTCAGTCTAAACAAATAACAAAATGTTTGTTGAAATATTTCATAAGAGACCTATTGCATTATGGGATAGCATGATTGAAGGCCTATCAAAACATTTCATTTTTGTTGATGCTCTCAACAGGTGGACTGGAGCAAATTCATCGCTGTCAATGGAGCCACTGCCCACCCCCACACAGAACCTGATGGTACAACATACAACATGGGGAATTCTTACTCTGCTAAAGGTAAGTAAGGAACTAGCCCCTGCCCTTTCACTAACCACCTTCACTAAAGTCTAACATGTATTACATATTAAGAATGACAAAACACAAACCTCTTAAACCTGAAATCTGCAAGCGAAAATTGGCCAAAAGGTCAGTTTTCCAGGTTCCAAATAAAACCAAATCGGTCATTTTTTCAGGTGCAATTTACAATATCATCCGCGTGCCTCCGACAAAGACAATGCCAGCAAACCCAGAGGAAACCCTGGAGGGAGCTACTGTGGTCTGTTCTATTCCCTCAGTGGACAAGGCAAAACCATCATACTACCACAGCTTTGGTGAGCAGACCACACAATGCCTCCACAGGCTCCATAGCTAATGACACATTTAATGAAAACAGCCCCTTATGTAAACCCTCTCACCAGTAGATGGCTCACTCACCCAACCATCTTCAAAGCAGAATGGTCATGTTTTATCCTTTTGTTAATCCGAATGCACAACAATGATCCATCAATACTGATATGATCTGACTCAACTCCAAGAGTGGCAATTGATATACTGCTCATTCGATTTCAGCAATGTCGGAGAATTACGTGGTGTTTATTGAGCAGCCTATCAAAATGGACCTCTTGAAGATTGTGACAGGCAAGCTGAGAGGAAAGGGTATCAGCGATGGGATCTACTGGGACCCTAAACTTGAGACCATCTTTCATTTGATTAACAAGCAGACAGGCAAGGTAAGACCTTGGTATAGAACACCCTTGAATTCTTGGAGTCTCTCAATTAGTTTTGGTAAATGACAAGCCAGGAATGAGACAAAGTATACTAAGCCTACAGTAATTGCTTGTAAGTTATACATTTAATTTCTGATGACTGACATCCTTTATTCTCTTCCAGCTCAACTCAGTCAAGTATCACGCCAAAGCGCTGTCCACGTTCCACCAGATCAACGCCTGGGAGGAGGATGGCTTCCTGGTTATGGACCTCTGTGCCGCAGACGATGGCAAAGCCATCAACAACTACATGGTTCAGAGCATGCGCAAGTCAGGAGAGGCTCTGGACGAGGTTAGTATCAGTCTAAATTGAAGGGTATAACAATTCATAACTTTAATGAATAATCATTAATGAACTATTTAGAAATACTAACTACAAATACATATTTCATTATTTGTAAACATTTATATGCATTAGAATTCTGAAGCATTTATCATTTATAATGGCTTGTCCATTACAGTTATAAGTGTAACCAGCTGAAGTCACTAGGATCAGGAATCCTACGTGTGAACGGCTTGAGGTTGAAAATATGTTTCTTTGTTCAAATTAGGTGTATAACACTATGTGCAGAGTTTTCCCCCGGCGATTTGTCTTGCCTCTCAACGTGGACAAGGAGACACCCTGTGGGCAAAATCTGAACACACGCCCCGACAGTACCGCCACTGCCACCAAGACTGCTAAGGACAAAGTGCGTGTACAATAATCATGCACAAATCTTCTGTTATAAATCACTGCTGATATACATTAAAATTTCCAATCAAGTTCATTAAAAAAAAAGGTTATGTGATTACCCTCCACATTATGTGAATATTCACTATCAGAGCCTCATTAACTCTCGCTCTCTGCAGGTCTTCTGTACACATGAGGATCTGCACGATGAGGAACTCCATAAGTACGGTGGTCTCGAGTTCCCACAAATCAACTATGCAAAGTACAACACCAAATCATATCGCTACTTCTACGGTTGCGGTTTCAGACATCTGGTAGGCGACACTCTCATCAAGATGGACCTCCATAGCAAAAAAATGAAGGTTGGTTCAGTTATATTTATTCTTCCTTCAATTTTAAAAACAAGAATATCTGCATTAGTAACACAGTACTCTATTGCAATGAGTGATGTAGGCCTAGGTAATATTTGGCAGTTTGATGTTAGGAAATTCAATGCTGAACTTCACACTGCTGTGCTTTAAGGTGTGGGAGCATCCTGGAATGTACCCTTCAGAGCCTGTCTTTGTACCCTTGCCTGGCGCTACAGAAGAGGATGACGGTGTCATTATGTCTGTGGTCATCACTCCAAATAAGGTCAGTTCCCCTTTAAACACCAATGCCCGTTGGTTAACAATTGTTGCACTCCTAACTCCCAATGTCAGCCTCCTAATGTAAACATGTTCCCCTTCTCCAGGACAAGAGCACATTCCTGTTGGTTTTGGATGCCAAGACATTCGAAGAGTTGGGCAGAGCTGAGGTGCCTGTGAACATTCCCTATGGTTTCCATGGGACATTCAACTCAACTATGACTCATAGGCATCTATCAGAAAAAAACTTAGGTGAGGCCCATCAGAGTAACACAAAGCCATGAATTATACTGTGTTCTTCATCTTTCATTTCTTGCCAAGTATACAGTGGGGGAAAAAAGTATTTAGTCAGCCACCAATTGTGCAAGTTCTCCCCCTTAAAAAGATGAGAGAGGCCTGTAATTTTCATCATAGGTACACGTCAACTATGACAGACAAATTGAGGGAAAAAAAATCCAGAAAATCACATTGTAGGATTTTTTATGAATTTATTTGCAAATTATGGTGGAAAATAAGTATTTGGTCACCTACAAACAAGCAAGATTTCTGGCTCTCACAGACCTGTAACTTCTTCTTTAAGAGGCTCCTCTGTCCTCCACTCGTTACCTGTATTAATGGCACCTGTTTGAACTTGTTATCAGTATAAAAAGACACCTGTTCACAACCTCAAACAGTCACACTCCAAACTCCACTATGGCCAAGACCAAAGAGCTGTCAAAGGACACCAGAAACAAAATTGTAGACCTGCACCAGGCTGGGAAGACTGAATCTGCAATAGGTAAGCAGCTTGGCTTGAAAAAATCAACTGTGGGAGCAATTATTAGGAAATGGAAGACATACAAGACCACTGATAATCTCCCTCGATCTGGGGCTCCACGCAAGATCTCACCCCGTGGAGTCAAAATGATCACAAGAACGGTGAGCAAAAATCCCAGAACCACACGGGGGGACCTAGTGAATGACCTGCAGAGAGCTGGGACCAAAGTAACAAAGCCTACCATCACTAACACACTACGCCGCCAGGGACTCAAATCCTGCAGTGCCAGACGTGTCCCCCTGCTTAAGCCAGTACATGTCCAGGCCCGTCTGAAGTTTGCTAGAGTGCATTTGGATGATCCAGAAGAGGATTGGGAGAATGTCATATGGTCAGATGAAACCATAATAACTTTTTGGTAAAAACTCAACTCGTCGTGTTTGGAGGACAAAGAATGCTGAGTTGCATCCAAGAACACCATACCTACTGTGAAGCATGGGGGTGAAAACATCATGCTTTGGGGCTGTTTTTCTGCAAAGGGACCAGGACGACTGATCCGTGTAAAGGAAAGAATGAATGGGGCCATGTATCGTGAGATTTTGAGTGAAAACCTCCTTCCATCAGCAAGGGCATTGAAGATGAAACGTGGCTGGGTCTTTCAGCATGACAATGATCCCAAACACCCGGGCAACGAAGGAGTGGCTTCGTAAGAAGCATTTCAAGGTCCTGGAGTGGCCTAGTCAGTCTCCAGATCTCAACCCCATAGAAAATCTTTGGAGGGAGTTGAAAGTCCGTGTTGCCCAGCGACAGCCCCAAAACATCACTGCTCTAGAGGAGATCTGCATGGAGGAATGGGCCAAAATACCAGCAACAGTGTGTGAAAACTTACAGAAAATGTTTGACCTGTGTCATTGCCAACAAAGGGTATATAACAAAGTATTGAGAAACTTTTGTTATTGACCAAATACTTATTTTCCACCATAATTTGCAAATAAATTCATAAAAAATCCTACAATGTGATTTTAGGAGAAAAAAAATCTCATTTTGTCTGTCATAGTTGACGTGTACCTATGATGAAAATTACAGGCCTCTCTCATCTTTTTAAGTGGGAGAACTTGTACAATTGGTGGCTGACTAAATACTTTTTTCCCCCACTGTATCCTTTCTGATGATTGACTGGATAGCCATCAAAGCACATTATTGTGAAGTTTACTTTAAAGCACTGAAAAACTTGTTAGTTCCATGCCAACAAACAAAATGTTTCATGTTCTTAAATAACTGTATTTTTGTAAGATTTATGTCCACGCCTGTTTTGTGAATATATCAATCCTCTATATAACCAACTTATAATAAAAATATGTATTAAGAAAATCCATGGGCACATTTTTTATAATTTGGTTCACTCACCACCAAAAAGCTCATATTTAATCTTTCAAAAATAGTGAAATATACAGTGCCTTGCAAAAATATTCACCCCCCCTTGGCGTTTTTCGTATTTTGTTGCATTACAACCTGTAATTTACAACCTGTAATTTAAATGGATTTTTATTTGGATTTAATGTAATAGACATACACAAAATAGTCAAAATTGGTGAAGTGAAAAAAATAACTTGTTTCAAAAAATTCTACAAAATAAATAATGGAAAAGTGGTGCATGCATATGTATTCACCCCCTTTGCTATGAAGCCCCTAAATAAGATCTGGTGCAACCAATTACCTTCAGAAGTCACATAATTAGTTAAATAAAGTATACCTGTGTGCAATCTAAGTGTCACATGATCTCATATATATATATATATATATATATATATACACACACCTGTTCTGAAAGGCCCCAGAGTCTGCAACACCACTAAGCAAGGGGCACCACCAAGCAAGCGGCACCATGAAGACCAAGGAGCTCTCCAAGCAGGTTAGGGACAAAGTTGTGGAGAAGTACAGATCAGGGTTGGGTTATAAAAAAATATCTATAACTTTGAACATCCCACAGAGCACCATTATAAAAAAATTGAAATAATATGGCATGTGCCAAGCTTATAGAGACATACCCCAAGAGACTTGCAGCTGTAATTGCTGCAAAAGGTGGCTCCACAAAGTATTGACTTTGGGGGGGGAGTGAATAGTTATGCACGCTCAAGTTCTGTTTGTTTCACAAGAAAAAAATATTTTGCATCTTCAAAGTGGTAGGCATGTTGTGTAAATCAAATGATACAAACCCCCAAAAAATCCATTTTAATTCCAGGTTGTAAGGCAACAAAATAGGAAAAATGCCAAGGGGGGTGAATACTTCCGCAAGCCACTGTAGGTTATGATAACACCACACAATATTCCATGTGATACACAGATGAATTAGTCCTACAGTCTGAACGGAATCCATTGACTCTTGTGACCGTCTTGTGGTCACACACACACACACAACACAGTTCATTTCCTGATTGGTAATGGTTAGGCTATATTTCACTGCCTCAAGTCAAAAAGATAATTGATTTTATACATTTTCAAAGACGAGTGCTTACTTTTAGATATTGCATACACTGAAACGTCAATCTTTTTAACCTATTTATTGTCTACAGTATTCCCAGTGCTTAAATATAAAGAAATAGCTCATTTATAAAGAAATGAACCACAATGACACTCACATTGTGTCTACCAGTGTGGGATAAAGAGTGAGGACAGTCAACATAAAAAGCATACATACAGGTCAAAATAAAAGTACTGACATGTTACTGATTGAGCTCCATGAGGAAATATTTACAAATGTCTGTAGCACATAGGCCTATGTAGCTAGTCTATCCCTGCAGTTTGTCAGAAATGATAGCCAAGGTACGCCTCAAGTGATCTTTCTTCTCTTTCAGGTGTGACTCCAAGTTTCTGGCCTCCATCAATATGTCTTCCAACTCCCTAACTTGTGAGGCATCTATTGCAGCCCTCTCACTGTAGGAAACAAAGTCATTATGTATGATGGACATGACGGTGTGTACAGATGATTTCAAGAAAAGCATATTCACCTAATGCTTGTTTATCATAACAAAAAACAATGTGTGTATGCAGTATGCTTGCCTGCGCACTTAAAGTAATATGTGATGTGGGCTAAGCACTGAAATTTAAACTCCAAAATGTGGTCTGACATTAGGAAGAACGGAATGAAAACCTGTTCTCAACATGTTTGTCACGTTACCTTTGTTGTACCTACCTCAACACTTCAGAGTATTTGGAAAATAGCATGTTGACCTCTCTATTTGCACCTAGCATTTGAAGTAAAATAAAAAGAGCAGTAATGTCAATTGCTCTGTATCAAACACATATTTAAAAAATATACAGTACCAATCAAAAGACTGGACACAACTACTCATTCAAGGGTTCTTCTTTATTTTTACTATTTTCTACATTGTAGGAAAGAAAGTGTTAAACAAATCAAAATATATTTTTTATTTGAGATTTTTATAGCCACCCTTTGCCTTGATGACAGTTTTGCACACTCTTGGCATTCTCTGAACCAGCTTCACCTGGAATGCTTTTCCAACAGTCTTGAAGGAGTTCCCACATATGCTGAGCACTTGTTGGCTGCTTTTCCTTCACTCTGCTGTCCAACTCATCCCAAACCATCTCAATTGGGTTGAGGTCGGGGGATTGTGGAGGCCAGGTCATCTGATGCAGCACTCCATCACTCTCCTTGGTCAAATAGCCCTTACACAGCCTGGAGGTGTGTTTTGAGTCATTGTCCTGTTGAAAAACAAATGATAATCCCACTAAGCACAAACCAGTTGGGATGTCGTATCGCTGCACAATGCTGTGGTAGCTATGCTGGTTAAGTGTGCCTTGAATTCTAAATAAATCACAGACAGTGTCACCAGCAAAGCACCCCCACACCATCACACCTCCTCCTCCATGCTTCACAGTGGGAACCACACATGCAGATTATAATTTTTTTTTAATATATTTTAAAAAATTGTCATTTAGCAGACGCTCTTATCCAGAGCGACTTACAGGAGCAATCTGTTCACCTACTCTGCGTCTCACAAAGACACGGCGGTTGGAAGCAAAAATCTCAAATTTGGACTCTTCAGACCAAAGGACAGATTTCCACCTGTCTAATGTCAATTTCTCGTGTTTCTTGACCCAAGCAAGTCTCTTCTTCTTCTTGTCCTTTAGTAGTGGTTTCTTTGCAGCAATTCAACCATGAAGGCCTGATTCACGCAGTCTCATCTGAACAGTTGATGTTGAGATGTGGCTGTTACCTGAACTCTGTGAAGCATTTATTTGGGCTGCAATCTGAGGTGCAGTTAACTCTACTTAATTTATAATCTGCAGCAGAGGTAACTCTTGGTCTTCCTTTCCTTTGGCGGTCCTCATAAGAGCCAGTTTCATCATAGCGCTTGATGTTTTTTGCGACTACACTTTCAATTTTCCATATTGACTGATCTTCATGTCTTAAAGTAATGATGGACTGTCATTTCTATTTGCTTATTTGAGCTGTTCTTGCCATAATATGGACTTGGTCTTTTACCAAATAGGGCTATCTTCTGTATACCACCCCTACCTTGTCACAACACAACTGATTGGCTCAAACGCATTAAGAAGGAAAGAAATTGTAAATGTAAAATGTAAATGTAAATTCCACAAATTAACTTTTAACAAGGCACACCTGTTAATTGAAATGCATTCCAGGTGAAGCTGGTTGAGAGAATGCCAAGAGTGTGCAAAGCTGTCATCAACGCAAAGGGTGGCTACTTTGAAGAATCTCATAAAATATATTTTGATATATAACATATATTGTTTAACTACATGATTCCATGTGTTATTTCATTGTTTTGATGTCTTCACTATTATTCTTCAATGTATAAAATAGTAAAAATAAAGAAAAACCCTGGAATGAGTAGGTGTGTCCACACTTTTGACTGGTACTGTATGTATGTATATATATATATTACATTACATGCCATTTACCAGACAATTGTATCCATAGCAACTTAGTCATAAGTGCATACATTTTACTTAAGGGCGGTTCCAGGAATTGAACCCACTATCCTGGCGTTGCAAGCGCCACACTACTTCATTCTGAACTACATTCGATTGTTAGATATATTATTTCTTTTAAAATGGTATCAATTGAGCCAAACATTTATCATTCTGATCTATGAAACAGAGAGATACAAATTATTCCTAACGCAAATGTGTGCATACCTGCAAGTGCAGCCTCAAACAAACCTGAAGAGATTGAAGCTGGTGTTTTACCACTGTGCGCTTTTTTGTTTTTTGCTGGAGAATTGTCACAATATGCAGATGTTTGTTCAACCTATTGCAATGAAAGAGAAAAGACAACTCAAATTCTACAACACAATCAATATGGATTTGCATGGACTAGCTAATAAATGGAAATGGATATGTCTGAGTTGAGAACAGATTGAAATACGTAAATTAGCTAGGCTATCCCAATGGTGGATGGAAGACATGTTTTTCTAATGGCCCTGGGGAGTTTATGTACTTTTACAGCAGATGACATCAAAACTGCAGCATTTCCTGACCTCTTGTGACAATTTTGGTTTTGGGCCTTTGTTGTCCATTCCCCTCCCTGTCGGTGGCATCGGTCACTTAAAAGTTTCTCACTGCTTGCTAAAGTTACGTGGAGATATGTGTAGTTAGCTACAATGGCTGATGCGAAACTGCATTTTAACACCGTGTAACATGCTAACGTTAGGTAATGTTTCTGCGCCTGTCTAACTGAACAATTGCAGCTAACTAACAATATTCTATCGGCTGCAGAATCAGCACAGATGACCTCAACTAGCAAACACTGCTAACGTAGCTAGCTAACGTTTGGTTAGCCAACGGTAGCTGGCAGGGCCTTATCGCTAGTTAGCTAGCATTTTTTTATAGCTTAAACATATCCTTAATTTATTTCAAGGTAATCTATCAAGGTAATTTACAAAAATGCGTTATGTAAAATTGATTAGCTTGCTACCTAAAACATTTGAAAAGTGGACTTACTTTTGCGTATCCGTTTGGTTTGCAAATTCGAATTCCGAGTGTTTTGCGCGAGCCAATCAGAAAGTTCCATCAATTTCACCAACCTGGGCAGCCTACTGTTCAAACTATTATGATCTACCGCCACCTACTGTCTTCTTTTACATTTTAGTCATTTAGCAGACGTTCTTATCCAGAGCGACTTAGAGCAGTTAGTGAGTGCATAAATTGGAGACGAACCCACAACCCTGGCGTTGCAAGCGCCATGCTCTACCAACTGAGCTACAGGGGACTTCTTCTTCTTCTTCTGTGGGTTTTATGGCGGACTACAACCCAAAAAGGTGTATTGCCACCTCATTTTACATTTTAGTCATTTAGCAGACACTCTTATCCAGAGCGACTTACAGATAGCGCATACATTATTTTATCGAACCCACAACCCTGGCGTTGTAAACGCCATGCTCTACCAACTGAGCTACATCCCCTGCCGGCCATTTCCTCCCCTACCCTGGGCCAATTGTGCACCGCCCCATGGGTCTCCCGGTCGCGGCCGGCTACAACAGAGCCTGGATCTCTAGTGCCTTAGACCACTGCGCCACTCGGGATGGGTTGAAAAACCAAAACAAAGTAAAAAGAAAATCCATATGTGATAGGGAAACTAACTTAATACACCTAAATAAAAATAGTACATTGACAAAAACAAAACTCCCACTTCTTCCTTCTTTCAAATCTCCATGTCTCCCTTCTCAGGCTCTAGGGCCTGAGAGGGTGGTACAGCTTGTGACAATACTCCATGTAACTCCTCCGCCGAGAAATCTTTCAGTCCCAGGAACCGCTCTTCCGCATCCACAATGATATCTATCTTCCTGGACCTTCTCTCCACCTTGGCAGTGCCATTTATCACCATAGCTATAAAGGCCACAAAATCTACCTTCTTAACCTTTAAAATGTCAGGGTCCTGCTGGTGAAAGGCAACCCCTGCAGCGTGTAGTGAAGGCCTATCCACCATCATGGACTCTTCAGGAGCACCATTCAAACCCTCAACCCTTTTGACAGCTGCTCCATATGAAATGCTTTGGACAGCCTTGACTTTGGCCACCTCATTCTCTTTCACCCTTGTCGGGCAATCGAAATATTTAGCTTCATGGTTCCCACCACAATTGCAACATGTCACATTTTCCTCACTTTTATAACACATGATATGGTCTTTTCCACAACTTGGACATCTTGGCTTCTCCCTTCTGCAAACACTTGAAACATGACCATAAGCTTTACAATGATCACACTGCATTGGTCTTGGACTGGCTTTCATCAAGCTGCCCACTCAAGAAAAGCTTCAAACTGTAACTAGTGCCTGCAACCTGGTTCAGGTTTTCTGTCAACCTACCAGGGTAGTTACAAACAGCACAGGAATAAAATCATCAACATGTATTGATCACATCTTTACTAATGCTGCAGAAATTTGCTTTAAAGCAGTATCCAAATCCATCGGCTGTAGTGATCATAATATAGCAGCCATGTCTAGAAAAACCAAAGTTCCAAAGGCTGGGCCTAATATAGTGTATAAGAGGTCATACATTAAGTTTTGTAGTGATTCCTATGTTGTTGATGTAAATAATATTTGTTGGTCTGTGGCGTGTAATGAGGAGCAAACAGACACTGCACTTGACACATTTATGAAATTGCTAATTCCAGTTCCAGTAAAAACTGATTGATGAGGAATTGAAAAATTGTATGGTTGAGAGGGATGAGGCAAATGGAATGGCAAATAAGTCTGGCTGCACAACCGATTGGCAAACGTACTGCAAATTGAGAAATCATGTGACTAAACTGAATAAAAATAAGAAACTATACCATGAAACAAATATAAATGTCATAAAGAATGATAGTAAAAATCATTTGAGAGCCTTAAATGAAATTTTGGCCAAAAAGGCAAACCCAGCTCCATCATTCATTGAATCAGATGGCTCATTCATCACAAAACCCACTGATATCGCCAAGTACTTTTTCTCCCCAATTGGTAGTTACAGTCTTGTCCCAGGCGAAGGTCGAGAGCCATGCGTCCTCCTAAACACGACTCTGCCAAGCTACACTGCTTCTTGACACACTGCTCGCTTAACCCGGAAGCCAGCCGCATCAATGTGTCGGAGAAAATTGTAGTCCCGTGTAGCTCAGTTGGTAGAGCATGGCGTTTGCAACGCCAGGGTTGTGGGTTCGATTCCCACGGGGAAGGGCAGCCGGCTTTTACTGTGGACCGGATCCTGGACTTCAGGCGGGTGGGGAGGGGTCTCCAATTTCTGGTGGACTGGGAGGGTTATGGGCCGGTGGAGCGGTCCTGGGTGCCCAGGAGGGACATTCTGGACCCAGGGCTGATAACAACAGGCGCCAAGGTGAAAGGCACTTCCCTGTGTTCCCTTGCTCAGTTTTCTCTGCTAGTTTCACTATGCCAAGCAGTACTAATCAGTGTCTGATCGCGGGACGTATGGACAGGTACGTGAGAACTGTTCTCCCTGTTTATTTATTATTTCAGTCCTAGTTAGTATTTCGTATTTTGGGCTGTCTCCCTGAGTCTTATTTGCTCCGCCTTTCTTTTTCGTGTAAAGTCCGTTATTTTGTAGCTTCGGGACCATCAGTAAAGTTCCTTATTTCACCATCTCTGCCTACTGCCTACTGTCTAACCTGCACCTCACCTGGGTCACACCACACACCAACCCTTACACTTGAGTGGCCCAGCCAAAGCCCGGACTTGAACCCGATCGAAAATCTCTGGAGAGACCTGAAAATAGCTGTGCAGCAACGCTCCCCATCCAACCTTACAGAGCTTGAGAGGATCTGCAGAAAAGAATGGGAGAAACTCCCCAAATACAGGTGTGCCAAGCTTGTAGCGTCATACCCAAGAAGACTTGAGGCTGTAATCGCTGCCAAAGGTGCTTCAACAAAGTACTGAGTAAAGGGTCTGAATACTTATGTAAATGTCATATTTAAAAAATATATATATAAATTAGCAAAAATGTATAAAACCCTTTTTTTGCTTTGTCATTATGGGGTACTGTGTGTAGATTGATGAGGGGGAAAAAACAATTTAATCAATTTTAGAGTAAGGCTGTAACCTAACAAAATGTGGGAAAAGTCAAGGGGTCTGAATACTTTCCGAAGGCACTATAACTACTGAAGATCTCCTCCCCCTGCAAGATTTATGTGCAGGCCCTTAGGGATCTCCCATGGCAACGTCTATGTCCCTTTCCACACGTCTCTGCCTGTGGGGTAATAATGAGCAATGTGCAGTAGAACAATCTGCATGTGTAAGGATCTAATTGACTGAGAGTAAATTATTGCAAGTGGCTAGCCTTTTTTCAAGTCAAAAAAGTGGCACACAGGAATTACTGGTGACCTCCAGATCGATTCAGATTATTCCAAAGGGGTACCTACAGTATAACCAGCTCACTCCCGTTTTTATAATAATAACCCATATGTAGCCTGTTGTCTCTAAGACACATTTATTTCACAATCTATTGTAAAAATGTCTCACCGAATCAATGAAGAAACACAGTGAAAAAGCCCCCATATCCACTTTACTTTATATCAAATCCTGTTGCTAATGTACTCGGTTGGAGACAGCTGTCATGTTGACTCTGCATATGATATAAGCACAGGCTGTGTTTTTGTGCATTTGCAGTACAATAGGTTATGTTGTGTGATTTGTCATGCCTGCCTATTGTCCAGTGGGGGAAGTGAGACCTAAGATACTTGTTCTGATTTATTATTTTCCCCTTGTAGATAATGATGATAATGGTGAGTCATATACAAGGAAAAGCTTTGCTTTCTGGGTTATCAAGACAGTTGTAAATTGAATGCAATTTCAAGTGTTCTTTGCTTAGCTTTTTTTGTTGGTGACAATTTTAAACACAATACACCACACACGTGGATACAGTACAAGGCCATTAAAAGCATCGAAGATGACACAAAAAAGTGTAAAACGAAAATACATTAAAACAAAATATACACAAGATTATAAGATGAAAACAAAATTCATCTTAAATACATCTCATAAATAGGGAGGGCACTATATAAGGAATAAAATGGATGATCAAGTAACGTTAGCTGAAACAATTATACTTTCTTTAAGCCAGTGTTTCCCAACCAGGGGTACTTGGCCTATCCACAGGGGGTACTTGAAAAGACTCATGAGACCATAGGCCTACTGGTAAAATGCACATGAGGGGGTACTTCAGTCGTACTCCGGGCAGAGCAAAATTCAGTTGGTGGTACAATAACCGAAAAAGGGTGGGAACTACTGCTTTAAGTTTTTTAAGCATTTCCCCCATAAACTATTAAGGGTTATTTTTAAAAAATCCCTAGCGTAGGGGTGCTTTTATGGTTTGGTGCACCATTAAATTAATCTGCACCAGTGTTAAGAAGATAGCTTTTTCCAGCTATGCTCCTATAGCGCAGCGGACTGATATTGGCAACACTGGCTCTGGTGTGATGGCTATGAGAGTCTCTAATTAAATTAAAATAACCAGACAGGTAACTGGGGTCAAGTTCTGTTATGTACAACTTTAAAAACCATCAACAGTTTGATCTGCACCAACTGGAGTTCAGTTCCCTGAAATGATTGGGACCAATGTGCGTCCTAGGGCTGAGCTTGAGTAGGCCTATAATTCTCATTCGTTTATTTTGGGCCGTTTGAAATTTGTCATTTTTTAGATTTCCGTCATTCAGATTTTTTTGGGCTAGCACATGTGTAAGGATTTGACATGTAGTGTTGTATACAATGATTTATATATACATCATTGGTTGTATATCATGTATATTTTTCCACAAACGCAAACTCATTCACTATACCAAAAAGTCGCTAACAATGGGCGAGTTCATTTTCCATAGCCCGGTGCCCCGGTTGACCAGAGTTTATACATATTAGACATACCATTGGTCCTTAAAAGAAATCTCCACCCACCCGACGCACCGGGACATGCAAAACGAACTTGCCCAATGCCACCAGCAGACTTTGCTTAGGAGAGGGGGATGATGGAGGTGCCTCCTACGCTTACTCCAATCGCCAATCGAAAGAGCTCTTCTAATACCCAAACGAAACATACATAAACATGGCGACAAGACAGACAGGCAAGATGCTGTCCCCTCTTAGGTTGACAATATATTTGTTATTTTTCTTCGCTCCTGGGACATTTTCATCCACCCTTCGTCTTCATCGAGACCATCGGTTCTTGCTACCGCAGGACAGAGGGTATTCTACGGTGAACGCAAATGAAGAATTTATCCATGGAATAGGCGCCGATGCGAAGCGACGAGCTGCACGTAATACAAGGGAAGACAGAGCTTCTGGAATGTATCAGCATCGCAATCGGCGGAGTGCAGTCGAACCACCCGTGCCAAAGGTGTATGGACAGGTAATGCATTACTTCTCCAGTAGTAACTACAATTCTACTGAAAGCAGCTAGCTAGCTGGTCTCACGTCACACTCGGAAGGCTATCTACAGTTAGTTACAGTAGCTAGTTAGGTTTAGCAGCTAACTAGCTAGTTAGGTTTAGCAGCTAACTAGCTAGCTAGTTTAGTAACGGACCTCAGCAAGCCTCTATGGCGCTCTCATTTCACGCACGACCCTTGACGAGGAGAGGTGAAGAGCAAATAGCAGAAGTCAGTCTAGTTTATTGCCAAGTGTGTGATTATCAGTACCACTGTAGCGAGATAGCTACAATATTTTTTAACACAGACTGCCCCCTTTCAGCATACGATGCCATGGCGGGCTCTTTTTACCCCGATGTAAGGCTCGAGCTACCATAGAACGCTCTGGCATTACCTATTCAATGACGTCACTCTATATCTAGTAAACAAACCCTCTGTTTTACTGTCTACCAACAGACTGTGACCCACATGTATTGCACGAAGTCTTTGAATTATCTTCTTGATTGAATTATCTTCTTGACCAACCTAATGCAGTATTTTTATTTTTATCTGACCAGCTTTTCAGTAACCCGGTGATCACAGCATGTCACCACAATCACAGTTGATGACAGACATCAACAGAATTCTAATTAGCCAAGACTGCCACTATAGTCCTCCCAATGTGGACATGCATGCCTTATTGGAAGGTGCAAATATTGTGAAGAGCCAATAGTGGCAGTCTTTGCATATTAGATTTTTGTTATTGTTGATTTCTGTAAGACGTTGGGGCTGTTGTGTATGATGAGGTCACATTGTTGAGTATCTCCATAATGTGATTTATTATTTATTACGGTAGTCTGCTCTTCACTATTCCTTCAAATGAAACTAAAAGTCACTGGTGGTTGCACTGCATTCCACACAACCTCAAATTGGAACAGACATGGTTGCTTATTTGATCAACTTTGGATATCATTTTTTGCCACTTTGGAATTCCTCTGCTCGTCAGATGTCATGTTTTGTTCTGTAGGGTGTTCATTGAATCAAATTTAGGTTAACTGTATGCCAGATGACATCTTCTTGGAATGAGAGTAAGCTGTTGTTTAGCCCCCCCTTCAGAAATATCCCTAAACAGCACACCGTTTTTCCACCACACTTAACAGAAAATAAACACAGCCAGTGTCTCCTCAAACACCCATTTCCCTAACTGTGACAGTAGAGGAAAGCCAATATCTTCAGGGATTAAATAGCTTTGTTCATTAGACAGGGCACTCATGGGATTCAGCCTAGAAGTTTCTAAAGGTGCTGCAGCAAAAATGCACAAAATGTATGCAAAAAATGCACAAAAAGGTACATACTTTATTTGTTTATAAATAAACAAGGTTGGCTATTTGTAGCAACTGTAGGGCTGTTATTTTGGCATTTAAGTTCAAGTAAGCTTTCAGTCCCCCGTCCCTAACCATATTGAGCTATATAGATCGAGATATAGATATAATTCTCACTTTAAATATAATTGTTGTACTAATCTGTATCGGATGTTGTCAGTGTGTGTGAAATGTGGATACAATTAATCAGAGTTTCTTAGTTTAAGTAAGGAATGTGGAATGTGGGTTTAGAGTTCATTCGTGATAATGAGCTCAAAAAAGGAGGAAATGAAGTAGAAAAAATGAACTCTGAGACAAAGAATGGCGCCGGAGGGGATGGCTGCCATTTTACGGGTTCCTAACCAATTGTGCTATTTTGTGTGTTTTTTCGCATTGTTTGTTACTTATTTTGTACATAATGTTGATGCTACCATCTCTTATGACCGAAAAGAGCTTCTGGATATCAGAACAGCGATTACTCACCTCGAACTGGACAAAGATTTCTTCTTTATTGAGTCTGAAGCGAAGGATATAATGCTGCTCCCAGACAAGGCCCAAATCCCCGTCATTCGCATGAAGAAAAAAAGGAAATACAGGGGGCGGAGATCAGGGTGCCTTGTGAGAATTTGTCGGCGAGTGGGTAACCCGCCTCTACCATCCGTTCTATTGGCCAATGTGCAATCACTGGAGAATAAACTGGATGAGCTCCGTTTGAGAATATCCTACCAATGGGACATTAAAAACTGTAATAACTTATGTTTCACTGAGTCGTGGCTGAACGACGACACAGATAATATACAGTTGGCTGGGTTTTCCATGCATCGGCAGGACAGAACAGCTAAGTCCGGTAAGACGAGGGGTGTGGGTGTTTGTCTATTTGTCAATAACAGCTGGTGCACGATGTCTAATATTAATGTAGTGTCGCGGTATTGCCCGCCTGAGGTAGAGTACCTCATGATAAGCTGTAGACCACACTATCTACCAAGAGAGTTTTAATCTATATTTTTCGTAGCCGTCTATATACCACCATAAACCGACTCTGGCACTAGGACCACACTCTATTACTTTAATGCAGGCAAACTTAAATCCGTTTGACCTAATTTCTACCAGCATGTGCAACCAGAGGCAAAAAAACCTCTAAACCACCTTTACTCCACACACAGAGACCCGTACAAAGCTCTCCCTCGCCCTCCATTTGGAAATTCAGACCATAATTCTATCCTCCTGATTTCTGCTTACAAGCAAAAACTAAAGCAGGAAGTACCAGTGACTCGCTCAATACGGAAGTGGCCAGATGACGCGGATGCTACGCTACAGGACTGTTTTGCTAGCGCAGACTGGAATATGTTCCGGGATTCATCCAATGGCATTGAGGAGTATACCACCTCAGTCACCGGCTTCATCAATAAGTGCATCGACGATGTCGTCCCCACGGTGACTGTACGTACATACCCCAACCAGAAGCCATGGATTACAGGCAACATCCGCACTGAGCTAAAGGCTAGAGCTGCCGCTTTCAAGGAGCGGGACACTAATCCGGATGCTTATAAGAAATCCCGCTATGCCCTCAAACGAAACATCAAACAGGCAAAGCAGTCAATACAGGACTAAGATTGAATCCTACTACACCAGCTCTGACACTCGTCGGATGTGGCAGGGCTATTAAACACATTATTAGACACAAGCCTACAAGACGGGCTAAATGCTTTTTTTTATGCTCTCTTCAAGGCAAGCAACACTGAAGCATGCATGAGAGCACCAGCTGTTCCGGACGACAGTGTGATCACGCTCTCCGTAGCCGATGTGAGCAAGACCTTTTAAACAGGTCAACATTCACAAGGCCGCGGGTCCAGACGGAATTACCAGGACGTGTACTCAGAGCATGCGCGGACCAACTGGCAAGTGTCTTCACTGACATTTTCAACCTCTCCCTGACCGAGTCTGTAATACCTACATGTTTCAAGCAGACCACCATAGTCCCTGTGCCCAAGAAAGTGAAGGTAACCTGCCTAAATGACTACCCCCCCGTAGCACTCACGTGTGTAGCCATTAAGTGCTTTGAAAGGCTGGTCATGGCTCACATCAACACCATCATCCTGGAAACCCTAGACCCACTCCAATTCGCATACCGCCCCAACAGATCCACAGATGACGCAATCTTAATCGCACTCCACACTGCCCTTTCCGCCTGGACAAAAGGAGCACCTATGTGAGACTGCTATTCATTGACTACAGCTCAGCGTTCAACACCATAGTGCCCACAAAGCTCATCACTAAGCTAAGGACCCTGGGACTGAACACCTCCCTCTGCAACTGGATTCTGGACTTCCTGACGGGCTGCCCCCAGGTGGTAAGGGTAGGCAACAACACATCTGCCACGCTGATCCTCAACACGGGTGCCTGTATAGCCTCATTATTGTTATTTTATTGTGTTACTTCTTTTTTTATTTTTTACTTTAGTTTATTTAGTAAATATTTTCTTAACTGCATTGTTGGTTAAGGGCTTGTAAGTAAGCATTTCACGGTAAGGTCTACACCTGTTGTATTCGGCGCATGTGACAAATAAAAAATTTGATTTGATTTGACTTCCAGTAAAAACACTTAGTCAAACTGTGGAGGCAGTCACGGAGGGGGCTGGATTGTGAAATTCAAGCGGGGAGTGTGACTGAAACCTGTCTTGAGCATCTGCGAGTTGAGATTCTCGCTCAAAACAAACAAGAGAGCCAAGCCTCTAGTCTTGCGCCTCGGTCATTTTCAGCAGAGACAGAACGTCTTGAAACAGAGTGAAACGCGGAGGTCATACCTGAACTTGTCCAATAGTGATTTTGTGTTGCTTCGCAAATTGTTTTGCTAGGGCGTGCCCTACTGAACACACCCCTAAAGTTGCTCAATCTATCCAGTCAAGGGTTTCTCACAGTTCACAAACATCTCCAGAGAAATAACATGACACACTCTAAAGGTGTGCTGCAAGCAGGATCTGGTTCCCTGCCACATGACACATAGTAAACAGATCAAACAGGGTTTGTGCATAAGACCACAATAAAAGTGCCATGGTGATGTTTGGTCTGGCTTGGGGAATGCTTGGCTGTACTCATTTTCCTCATTAGATAGTGGTCATCATGTCACACGTAAGGAGCCTTGATCAATACATTTCACTACACTTGTCTGGTGCCTGGACTTATTCTGATGCTTGTCGTCTAGCCTAATTCTATGAGCCTGTGTGAGCAAGGAGGATACATATGTTTGCAGTTATGTGTTGAGTTTCAAGCGATTAAGCCTAATGTAGTAGGACAACTGATACTGTTTGCTAACAGCAGCGAAGCGAGTGCCGGGGAAAAATAGGTGCTATGGTAAACAATCAGAATCCTGATCATCTTTGATCGTCATGAAGAAATTAGGGTTGAATATCTGCAGTTGTATTGGATACCTTGTTGCTCTCTTATTCCTTATTTTGGCCTATCGGTGTGTGTGTGTGTGAGACAGCGAGCGAGAGAACAAGCATTGGCAAGCTATACCAGCTTGGTCCCCTTCAACCAGTTGGTTTCATTTTGTGTTTGCATATAATTTACTACAGTCTGTCACTGTCTATGACAGATCCTTTCAGGACTACAACCACATACTTGTTTTTGACCCTTAAAACACTCACTTACTGTTAGGAATTGGTGTGAATTCACTGCAAGTTGCAGTAGAAAATGTGAACCATGCAGATGTGGAAAAGGTATGTCAAAAAGGGCATTTTCACTGCTCTGGTGTGTGTGTGTGTGTTTGTGAGCTGCATTTCAGCTGACTAGTCTCTCAAGGTCAGATAAATCACCTGGAGCTGAATGAACACACACACACACACACACACACACACGCACATACACACACCCCAAGCTCACCTCAAGTCTCACTTCAAGCTTGTTTCTCACATTTATTCCCCAAAAGAATGTGCCAGGCACTCACTAATGTTTTGCTGGCTGGCTACTCTTCGCTGCCAACAGCATTGAGACATTCAGCGTGATCTGCCATGTTAACCCACTTATCAGTCAGCCTTGTGAAGAACAACTCTCTAGTCTCTGTCAAAGAGGCCACTTCAGAGATTCCACAGAGCAGAGCAGCCCTTTATATAACATAGCCGAGCCCAGACTACACTATGGGGAGATAAACAACTAGCCTATAACACATTGATATCAGGGCCTGTCGCAGCTAGTTGGCCATCAATCAGTGTGTGTATATAAAAATAAAAATAAATGTGCGGCATGGCTGTCACAGAGGACAGTGGCGCAATTGTGCTGCATCCAGCCAAAAATACACACTGGTAGATTGCAAATGCAAATTGAACGTTCGCACTGAACGCCAGTTCTGCAGCAGGCGGATGATGTCATCGTCGGTTCAGCGCCGCTCCAATGGTGACACTCTTTCAGCAGTGGTTCATTCTGCTCTTGAATAATGAAGGAGAACATGATGGGGGAGATGTAAATACTCACCCTATTTCACTGGGGGTTTTTCTTTGCTTGTTGTTGTTGAGGAAACAGATTGACGTCGTAGCACCAGGGTCGTGTTTAGTAGGGCACAAAACCGTTTTGCCACGGTAAACGAAAATAAGCATTTCTTGGACAAGTTCAGGTATAAGCCTACCTCCCTGTTTCTCTCGTTTCAAAACAATTTCTCTCGACTGAACACAACCATGCTTCTCAAAGAAGGGAGGGTAGTGTACATGAGAGGAGGAAAGATAATGTTTTTTTGGCACCACGAAAGCGTCTCCTGAATTACATGTTTGCCAATGAAAACAATTTTGAGGAGAGTCCAGATTGATGTGACTGATATAGGCCTAGTCAATATTGTGCGTTTAAGTTTGGACTCATGGAATCAGCATTATCAGTCTCCTTCAGACACTCGGCCTTGGCTTTTGTAAGGCATGGTTTGCAATCTTCCTTTTCCATTCCGATGATGTTTTGCAACTGATATTAATCTAGCTTCGTCCAGATAGTGCAAAAGGAGCATGAGCCGTGAGCTATGGACAGATTAATTTACTGTTCCTTCAAGGTTTCCTTCAAGGTTTGGCCGGGTAAATAAATACATGAGAAATAGGCCTGCGTTCTTCCTGACTTGGTGTTGACAAATGTGGGGCTTGTCAGATGCTACCAGAGCATATACGTCAATGGACTAGTGCAAAGGAATTTGTAGTGTTAGAATCCCTGGCACTTGCTTGGTGAAGACTGCTGGTTGCCTTTGTATGACCACCCGTCCTAATGCCCCAGTGACCAACATGCTTCCTACAAGACAGATGTATTGGGTCACTTCTTTCTTTGATACTTTCTATCCTCTAACTATCATACTAGCAAACTCAAGATCTGGAATCATGACTATCTATGCTAAAAACCATTTGGCAGTGCTAAACAGGACGGTATTATCAAAGTTAGGCACATTTTCGGGCCCAACATTTACTTCAAGGCCTCAGTGAAAGCAGTACTATCACAGAGTTTCTAAACTTAGAGGCGCAACATCGCGAGAATTCCGGGAACGGTTGCGAAACAGACCAAACAGACCAGGCCGGGATTTGGGGTTTGAGAAGTGAACAATTATTTCTTAGTTGTTAGTTTTCTCGAAATCTAATGGCACAACCTAGATTCAAGCCAATGTCCTTAGGTAGTTGAACATGTTATTACTCCAACCTTGTGAAAGTGACAAACTGACACGTTTTCATTTTCCTCAAAAACAACTTTATAGTGCCTTTGATTTGACTACCTGCACTTGCGCAGTTCAGCGCGAGACGACCATTAGACCCGATGACGTGTTTCTACGCATGAGCTTTGCTAGCCAACGTCGCCATGACATCGCCTACAAGTGTGATCAGGGATTTCTTTTGGAGAAGCAGTTTTAGCCTATCTTGATGCTGTACTGTCTTTGGTAATAACGTCAATCACTTGCAAGACCACAAGCAATAGGAGATGTCATTGTGCTCAAGGTAGCCCAAACACACATAGACTTTAAAAACACAATGATTAGACCTATTATTCATTTTATCACAAATCTAAATAGAAAGCAGTTACAGTCAGTCCAATCTACCCTAAAAGCTGTATTATGAGATATAGGCAGACCTTTTGGGACCCAACAGACAACAGTGAGCTTATGAGGCCTTAACCCTCACGTAACTGGAGATGGTTTGAGTGATGCTCACGTCCATTACCTGTTAATGGCCGATTTGTTATCGAGCTGGGCGAGAGGAATAGATTGTGTCTCATGATGCCATTTGCAGCAATTTACCAGTGCCATCACTCTCCTGATTCAGCAGTGTCAGGAGGACCACACCGGCACCCCTTTTACATGCTCTGTGGGCAATGAGGCTTAAAAGGCACTGAGATTTACTGCAGAGTCATCTCACCCTTGAAGATGGCCTTGCCTTTGACTCAGCTGACCTCCTGGGACGTGTTCAGTAGGGCCCACCATAGCGAAATGTTTTAAAACGTTCTGAATGAGCGTTTCTTATTAGACAAGTCCAGTTAGTAGAAGTGTTCTACTATTTTGGAACTCTGTTTCTCAGGGAATGATAATGTTATTACATGGAATGAGTTACCTTATTACAATGTTCATCCTGAAATCATGCTTATACACACACAACAAACTCTTGTAGGCTATTTTGTAGCAATCTGCAGCAGAAATCACATTCCATTACTAAGTCTACAAGCCCTAGTACCAATAGTTGGTGTAAAGTTACCACTGAAAGAAGAGGAATGTCTGTTTTATCATTTATACAGAAATTACAGTCTTTGTGTTGTCAACTGTCCAAGTCTGTAAAAATACTGTAGTAAAGGGAGAAAACAGAGCTTTTTAAAGACTCACAGCTCCCTGCAGAATGATACATGAAGAATGAGAGAGAGGAGCGCTCGGGTGAGAGGCAAAGGCAATGGGAATTAAAATGACATACTTTTTGTGGACTCACACTTTACAGATCTTATTGTCAGAGCTGCACCAATGGAGCTTTAGCGTTTGATTGAGTGGTGCCTTCTGCTGTTACACTACTACATCTACCACAAGCACTTAGTAGCAGCATTGTGTTGTTTCAATGGACACAGTGAAGGCCTCTGAAAGTGGGCGATGTGAGGTAAAGCTGGTCACTGCTTGTTCTCTCGCTCACTGACACACACACACACACACACACACACACACACACACACACACACACAGAGAGAGGAGCCTTTAGCGAGTTGCTCCTCGCAAGGTCATAACAATAAGACCACAAAGTCCGTCGCCGTAGTAACGTGCATCAGTGAGCTTAACTGTATGATGACTAAAGAAAAGCATGACAGCTCTGTTCAATACACCAGACACAGCCAGGCAAGATACAGCAAACTTTCACAGCGGGATTTCTACCAGCTAAGCAGGTGCTGCGAACCCAGCAAAATCATTGATAATAATAGCATTTCATAACAAATTTGATATGGTCCAAGGATGTTTTATCAGAGATAAAAAGCCACTGTAATTCATCAGATAGTTGCTTAATTCATTGGACTCGGAGTTGATCAAACAGAACAAAAATACAACAGGTCAATTGAGAGACTGTTCTTTTCTTTGCAGGCCAACCTGAACGATTCCCATAACCAGATGGTGGTGCACTGGGCCGGGGAGAAGAGCAATGTCATTGTGGCGTTGGCCAGAGACAGTGTTGGAGCCACAGGTCCCAAGGCTAGCTCGGTGAGTACACAGTAGTACACTTCCTGTAAGTACGTAAGTACAGTAGTACACTTCCTGTGAGTACCGGAGTACACTTCCTGCGAGTACAGTAGTACACTTCCTGTAAGTACGTAAGTACAGTAGTACACTTCTTCTGTGTACTGGAATACACTTCCTGTGACTACAGTAGTACACTTCCTGCGAGTACAGTAGTACACTTCCCGTGAGTACACTAATGTAGTAGCTTACATTTCCTGTAAGTACCGTAACATACCTTCTGTGTGGGATGTTTATCCACAATCACGCAAAAAGAACATATCCATGAACCTATCCAGCACTACATAGCCTAATACCTACATGTTGTTTTTAGCCACTTTTGAATTTTCTCCTTCCCTCTCAATTCATGTTGCCCTCTTTTCAGATAACACCCATAGGATTCTGCCCTCCTGACTGTACATTTCGGTTGTCTTTTTCCCATTCAAATGTAGACTCCTTTGTTCGAGGTACCATGGCAGAAATGATAATACTGTGTTAACCACAGTTTGACTGTGTAATGTTGTCTTTGTGTATCCATGTGTGTTTGTGTGCGTGCGTGCATGTGCGTTTGTGTGTGTGTGCATCTGGTCAGTGACAGTGACAGGCCACATGTTGTCAGTGCTGCGGGGCCCAGACCTGTTCCACTGTGCTAAGGAGATGGCGCCATGGCCGGCCGGCCAGCCGTGTGCTTCCTCTCTACTCCTCTCCTCTCACAGATCAGATTCACTGAGCCACGGATTAATCCCTCCATCTGTTACACCACCAAAATACTTATCTTTCTACTCTCTCTGCTTTTGATTATATCAGCTCCCTATCCTGCCTGATACTCACGCTCAGCTTACAGTAACCCAATTACCTCCCACTGCTTTTGTTCACACTGTAAGAATGACCTCTCGCGCTCCTCAAGGGGTTAACTTAAGATGTAATGCCATTTGAAAAACAAGTGGTTTATACTAAACCGCAGAGATACCACTGGTGAAGGACAGTTTGTACAATAATTGTTAGTTTTGTGTCTCTCTCCACTCCCAGTTCAGTACGCTCCTCGACATAACTTCCAGCCAGCGTTGTGGATTCAGTGGGCTTTGTGTGCTGTTCTCTGTGGTCTGAGCTCCTTGGTGTCTGGCACTCTGACGGGAATCTGAGAGCTCTGACCTCACTCGTGTATTGTCTCTGATAGAATCTGCAGGACAGGAGGGAACAGAACAGAACAGCATTGAACACTAAACACCTCTTAACATTCTGGATTGGAGTTCTCTCTTAAAGGAACTACAGTTCCACTCACTAGTCACTTAACATGGACAAAGCTTTTTCCCAAGTATTGTGTTTCTCTCCGTAAATGGAAAGTCTGTAGATGGAAAGTCTTGCTACTGCCTAAATGCTTTAATTCATTTTACTGAGTCAGTTAATGGCCTCTCTCCCAATAACCAATTCTAAAATGATTTTGTCCTCTGCTAGAAATTAGTCCTTCATCAAAAAGCATTTAATTTTTCCTGTCCAAAAAGCATCACAACAAAAAGTACCGTGATAGTGGATTTCATTTGTTTACCATGTACCATCACTTCCATGTTCTCACCTCTTTCCTCTCTCTTCTGTCACATGGTAGGTGTACGTGTCTTACGACTATGGAACCAGCTTCTCCCCCATCTCAGAGAGGTTTCAGCTGAGTGGGGAGAAGGAGAAAGAGGGGAGCAAGCAGGTCATCTCCCAGTTCTACCATAGTCCCGCTGACAATAAGAGGGTAAGTGGCTGAAGACCATAGAGGTACGTACACTGAGTGTACAAAGCATTAGGAACACCTTCCTAATATTGAGTTGCATCTTCTTTTGCCCTCAGAACAGCCTCAATTCATCGGGGCATGGACTCTACAAGGTGTCGAAAGCGTTCCACAGGGATGCTGGCCCATCTTGTCTCCAATGCTTCCCACAATTATGTCAAGTTGGCTGGATGTCCTTTGGGTGGTGGACCATTCTTGATACACACGGGAAACTGTTAAGTGTGAAAAACCTAGCAGCGTTGCAGTTCTTGACACACTCAAACTGGTGCGCCTGGCACCTACTACCATACCCCGTTTAAAGGCCCTTAAATATTTAGTCTTGTCCATTCACCCTCTGAATGGCACACATACACAATCCATGTCTCAATTGTCTCAAGGCTTAAAAATCCTTCTTTAACCTGTCTTCTCCCCTTCATCTACACTGATTGAAGTGGATTTAACAGGTGACATCAATAACGAATCATAGCTTTCACCTGGATTCACCTGGTCAGTCTATGTCATGGAAATAGCAGGTGTTCCTAATGTTTTGTTAACTCAGTGTACAGTATGATGATAATAATACATACTGTTTTTAGACCTATCTCTATATTGAAGACTGCCCTGATACAGAGGGGTTTTATTATGTTTTCAATGTTTGAGTGTATAGCTCTTTTCTGTATGTTCTCCCATCTCCACACGACCAGGGGAAGGCACATAACGTCATTGAGCTTGTGGTATATTAGGGTTGATTTAGGTGTATAGTGTCTGTGGGTGTGTGTGTGCTTGTGTACATGCGTAGTTATCAGTCATGAGCTCGAGATTGTTCGATGCAGTGCCCTGAGGTTTGGTGCGTTGCCGTGTTCGATTATGTCTCACTGTGTGCCGGTGAGTCATAGCCCTGGCCCCGCCCCCAGCCGTTCCCCCTGGCACTCAGCCCAGTGGAGATTATTGACAGGTGTAAGGGTGCATGGGAAACGCAGTTTGTTCCATTAGCAGGCAGGTAGGCACTCGTGTGTGTGTGGCCTGACTTGTGAGCCCTGCAGGCTTGGGCCATCCGTCTGGGCTCTAGAGAGAGAGGCAGGGCTGCCTGGTATAAGAGCAGATAACAGCCGGAGGATTTCGCCCTCTTAGTCTGCAACATACTCCCAACATCATGGAGATTATTATGATGGGAAATGAGTGGTTTCTTCTCATCTGCACACTGAGCTGTGAGCTTTCCCATTTGAATTCAGGGCCCGTATTTAGCAAGCTTCTCAGAGTAGGAGTACAGATCTAGGATCAGTTCCTCTCTGTCTATAATAATCGGATTCATTATGATCTAAAAGGCAAAACTAATCCAAAATCTCCTTCTCAAGACGCTTGATAAATATGGGCCCAGAGCAGCAGGTCTAGCCTCTCCTTGTAGAAGCATTTGAAGCAGATGATGAGGTGTCTGAGAGATAAATTGCACTGATCACTTTAGGTAATGATTTATGAATTAAGGGGGATCAGAGATAATGAATGGTTAGCCTATAGCATAACCCACTGACTAACCTTACATTTAGGGCTATGCTTATACTCCAAGTCCTTTGTACTTGGGTCTGACTGGTTATGGATCTGCCTATTTATAAGAAAGATTTACCCATTTTGAATGTTATATATATTTTTTGCATCTCTGCGCAATGTTCTATCTATTCCCGGGGTCATTTCATGTGTAGAAGTATTCACACCCACCGAGTCAATACAGCTTTCAGTCTTTATGGGTAAGTCTCTAAGAGCTTTGCACACCTGGATTGTTCAATATTTGCACATTATTCTTTTTAAAATTCTTCAAGCTCTGTCAAATTGGTTGTTGATCATTGCTAGACAGCCATTTTCAAGTCTTGCCATATATTTTCAAGCAGATTTTAAGTCAAAACTGTAACTCAGGAACATTTCATTGTTGTCTTGGTAAGCAACTCAAGTGTATATTTGGCCTTGTGTTTTAGGTTATTGTCCTGCTGAATGGTGAATTTGTCTCCCAGTGTCTGTTGGAAAGCAGACTGAACCAGGTTTTCCTCTAGAATTGTGCCTGTGCTTAGCTCTATTCAGTTTATTTTTCTCCTAAAAAAAAATCCCCAGTCCTTGCTGATGACAAGCATACCCATAACGTTATGCAGCCACCACCATTCTTGAAAATATGAAGAGTGGTACTTGAAAATATGAAGAGTGGTACTCAGTGATGTGTTGTGTTGATTTGCCCCAAACATAACGCTTTGTATTCAGTACATAAAGTTAATTTCTTTGCCACATGTTTTGCAGTTTTACTTTAGTGCCTTATTGCAAACAGGATGCAATCTTTTGGAAAATATGTTCTGTACAGGCTTCCTTCTTTGTCATTTAGGTTAGTATTGTGGAGTAACTACAATGTTGTTGTTCCACCCTCAGTTTTCTCCTATCACAGCCATTAAAGTCACCATTGGCCTCATGGTGGAATCCCTGTGCGGTTTCCTTCCTCTCCGGCAACTGAGTTAGGAATGATGCCTGTATCTTTGTAGTGACTGGGTGTATTGATACACCATCCAAAGTATAATTAATAACTTCACCATGCTCAAAGGGATATTCAGTGTCTGCTTTTTAAAATGTTTACCCATCTACTAATAGGTGCCCTTCTTTGCGAGGCATTGGAAAACCTCTTTGGTCTTTTTGTTTGAATCTGTGTTTGAAATTCACTGCTCGACTGAGGGACCTTACAATTATCTGTATGTGTCGGATACAGGGATGAGGTAGTCATTCAAAAATCATGTTAAACACTATTGTTGCACAGAGTCCATGCAACTTATTATGTGACTTGTTAAGCACATTTTTACTCCTGAACTTATTTAGGCTTGCCATAACAAAGTGGTTGAATACTTGTTTGAAATGTATTTCTTTGTAATTTGCCAAAGAATTTGACATTATGCAGTATTGTGTGTAGGCCAGTGACAGAAAATCTCAATTTAATGAATTTGAAATTCACGCTGTAACACAACAAAATGTGGAAAAAGTCAAGGAGTGTGAATACTTTCTGAAGGCACTGTATATGGTGATATAACAGTGGATTAAGTCCCTGAAGTTTCTCACTGTAATGTGCTGTACATGTGGGACCTACTATGTCCTAGTCGTGACACATCTACAGTATGAGATACCATTTCAGCTTTGGATCATCATCTCATAGCATCTATCTATTTCACTACCTCCCGCTCGCTGCCTTGCGCTACAGAGCTTTTGTTCTCACAGGGTATCTGTCCCGTTTCCAAATGGAGGCCGTTGAGAATAGAGGAGTTATTGGGAAGGCAGTTTAAAAATAGATCAAAGGAAGGAGCGGCAAAATGGGATTATAGCTCTGTATAATTGCGTAATCTGAATTTGTAATTAGGCATTTCAAATTAAATATCTCTGAATATTTCTGTGAATGTTTTTTTTGCGAGGGATGTTTGCAAACGGTCTTTTGAAGTAGCTAGACTAGAGATATCTGGAGTTGAGATATTAGGCCAGTTCTTACTATTCTAGTTTGTTGAAATCAGTCAGGCTTGAAGTTTTACCACGTCAGAGGTTTATTCAGTTCCGAAAGATGCAGGTACAAATAGAAATGTTATGTATAGAGCAAGAATGATTCCCTGTTTTAAAGGACAGAATGTCCTATATCTTAACATTCCGTAACACTCATGAACAGACCCCAGTGGGTATTTAGACTAACCTTGGCCCGTCTTGTCTTTCTCTCTTTCCAGTACCTCTTTGCAGACAGCACCAACAGCTACCTCTGGAACTCCTTTGACTTCTGCAAGACCATCCAGGGGTTCTCCATCCCCTTCAAGCCCACAGATCTGCTGCTACACAGCAAGAGAGCCAACCTGGTCCTGGGCTATGACAGCTCCCACCCCAACAAACAGGTACTCAACTGACTGCTATAGAAATGCTGCTTCACTGTCTTGAAAAAGGTCTCGGACAGAAACGTAGACGATTAACAACATGCAGAGGTAAGCATGTTTAAAAAAAATCAATTTAACCAGGAAGTCCCTTGAGATCAACAATATTTTTATGATGGAGATCTTTGTGCAGGAAGTGTCTATTATAATGATCAGCGCTATAGTACTGTAAGAGATCCACAGGCTCCTCCTTTGCCTTTAGCTCTGTGGCCACCATTTGGTTCGAGGTTAGATGCCTATGTGGACAAATGGCTCTACTCGATATGCTGGATTACCATACCATAGCCCCACAGCATTTGGTTTATAATACAGTGTGACTGTTCTAGAGAAAAAAAACAATATTTCTGAATGTAGGACAGTTGCATAATTGCAAATAGAACGGTGCATATGCAAATACTGGTTAAATGTCACAGCTGCATATACTAAACTGGACATTTTGTGGAATTTTTCCCTAACTACTCATTCACGTTTCAGCTCAACAAAAAACTCTCAAACATTCTGCCAGTTATATGCAGCCAGGAGTCAACATGTGCAAATGAGCCCCTGACCTACATTTACTCCCCATCCCCCGCCTCTGTTATTTTTGCAGCTATGGAAATCTGACGATTTTGGAGAGACATGGGTGTTGATCCAAGAGCACGTGAAGGCCTATTTCTGGTAAGATCAATGCCTCTGTATACAAAGGTGATGATGGTGTGATGAGAGGCAGAACGTACAGTCATCAATATAACAAATAGTTGCTGTTGAGTGCCAAACTGTCTACAAAACATGAAAGCATCGGTCTGTGAGAGGGATGGATGGGATGTGTTTGTATGTGTCTTTGTTTCCTGTTTACTTCCTGTTTTTCTGTGTTCTGTGACTGCCTGCCTCCTCCATCATCTGGCCCTTACTAGACCTCAGACGGTGGAGAGATCTCATTAATGTCTTCCGATTGCTGTCTGCTTACCAAGCACGCAGCTCGCGAGCTAACTCCTAGCCTCTCCAAGTGAAATACATAGATTAGATTGGCCCTTGTAATTGAATGACAATGCAAAGAAAATGTCACTACATTTACATTTACATTTTTAGTCATTTAGCAGACGCTCTTATCCAGAGCGACTTACAGTTAGTGAGTGCATACATTATTATTTTTTCATACTGGCCCCCCGTGGGAATCGAACCCACAACCCTGGCGTTGCAAACGCCATGCTCTACCAGCTGAGCTACATCCCTGCCGGCCATTCCCTCCCCTACCCTGAACGACGCTGGGCCAATTGTGCGCCGCCCCATGGGTCTCCCGGTCACGGCCGGCTACGACAGAGCCTGGATCACTACGGTCCCTGAGGGAGAGAGACACTGATTACTATGTGTGAATGGCTTGATGACTCTACCACCTAAAGGATTTTGAACCCTGCTAACAACCAGATCTGCGTTCAAATAGTATTTGAAATCTTTCAAATACTTTTAACGTTTGCTTGAGCCTGCCTAGAGTGCCAGATGGGCAGAGTTTGCACAGAAAAGGTCCATCAATCACATCAGAAATAACAAACTTGCCAAAAACAATCTGATAACGATGATGATTGCGACACGTTCAGTGCCTTGTGAAAGAGATCAGCTATGTGTCTCTCACCACATAAAGTAGGCCTAGGCAGGAGAGTGGCAAACTCAAACATAAAAAAATATATGTCACTTTCAAACCCCATCCATAAAATATAAAGCCCTGCTTTGGAAGGATTTTACCGATCTGTTAATGATTTAAAGGTGTGAATGTGGAGGGTTAGCTAGGGTTAGACATCACTTTCATTGCCTCGCAGAACCTCTGCCTTTAGTAGATGACAACAAGAGGCTCTCTCATTCTCCACTGCAGATATGTAATGCTGCTTGTCAGCTACAGCAGGAGTCTATTCAGGAGGGTGCAACATTTCAGAACGTTCAGATTGAAATGTATTGTGTAGAACATATACGCTTGTCTGTCAAGTAGAATTAGGAATCATGTCCGTTCTTTTCAGTGTATTTCTATCTGTAATGCTCTGAACATTTTTCACTTACTTAATTCTCCCCAGACAGTTGGCTATTTTTGCACACATCTTCTGGTGTCAGAGACACAGAGCTCTGCTCCCTTCCCCAGTGAACCCACCCTCAACTAAACACTGATAAACGGCAGACAGTGTTTTCTCGGCCTCCGGCATGCTCAGACGGTGGCAGCGGTCGTACACGTGGGCGTGTTTGGTTTTTGCAGAGTTTGGTTTTTGCCAGGCATTACTGGAACCATGTCGTCCAAAGAGTTATACTTTTTAATCATCTGTCCATAGAACGTTCTTCCAAGAGTCTTGATGATCATTCAGGTGCTTTTTGGCAAACTTGAGTCAACTTTTTGGACAAGATGGTTCCCATTATGCCTGGCGAAAACCAAACACTGCATTCCACAGTAAGAACATCATACCAAAGGTCAAGCATGGTGGTGGTGGTGTGATGGTTTGGGGATGCTTTGCTGCCTCAGGACCTGGACGACTTGCCTTAATAGAAGGAACCATGAATTCTGCTCTGTATCAGAGAATTCTACAGGAGAATGTCAGACCATCCGTCTGTGAGTTGAAGCTGAAGCGCAGCTGGGTCATGCAGCAAGACAATGATCCAAAACACACAATCAAGTCTACATGAAAATTGCTAAAAAGCAACAAATTGGACGTTTTGGAATGGCCTAGTCAAAGTCCAGACCTAATCCCAATTGAAATGTTGTGGCAGGACTTGAAACGAGCAGTTCATGCTTGAAAACCCACACGTCACTGAGTTAAAGCAGTTCTGCATGGAAGAGTGGGCCAAAATTCCTCCACAGCGACGTGAGAGACTGATCAACAACTACAGGAAGCATTTGGTTGGAGTCATTGCAGCTAAAAGTAGCACAACCAGTTATTGAGTGTAAGGGGTAATTACTTTTTCACACAGGGGAATTGGGTGTTGCATAACTTTGTTTATGAAATAAATATGTAATTGTTGTGTTATTTGTTCACTTATGTTCCCTTTATCTAATATTAGGTTTTGGTTGAAGATCTGATAACATTCAGTATCACAAATATGCAAAAGTAGAGAAAATTAGAAAGGGGCAAATACTTTTTCATAGCACTGTAACACTGCCCGTCCAAGTGGCATCATGTAGTCAGTAATACCAGGCAGCGCTTTAGATAACAACGCAACTACCGCTGCAGATGACACCCCTCCCCCCACCATGATTGAGCGTAGGAGATCCTCTTAGATCACGCTTATGAGTCTCGGAGTCACAGGGGACGGTTGCAGAGGGAGGATTTTGTCTTGGAATACCCACACGACCCAAAAACAAACATGAACAAACAATTTAATCCCAAAGCAGTAACTATACGCACAATGCTTGAAGGTCTTTGTGGACTTCTGAGGAAGAGAGCAGCTACAGAAGTGTGTACACCATATTTTTTCCACAAGTAATTTTCCTTTTAAATCTGGACACAGCTACTGTCTCCACTGTGTCTGACTGCTTCCACACCACCAGCTGCATTCAGATCTTTGTCTGGTGCTTCTTCCTCCTCTGCCTCAATGGCCAGTTTTCCTTCTTAACCATGTGTGTCCAGTCCTTTGCCGATCATGGGCTTTCCACGTCTAATCCATTTGCCGGAAGCCTGCGCTGCAGATCAGGCTAAGAAGGCTGTAAGCCCTGGGGTTTTGTCTGGTTCACACCCTGTTGTTGGACGTGTTTAACCAGCAGTTGTCGAAACGTCTCGAACCAGCAAATCGTATGTATTTGTTCCCCTCCGTCCTAATCCTTTTATTCTGTTTGGTAGGAGGATCGAGAGGCCGCCTTAAAAAAAAAACAGCCTCCCAAGTGTTTATCAAAAGAATAAGGAGGCCCTTGGTTCGCAATGTACTGTGGATTATAATAATAATAATAATAATATGCCATTTAGCAGACGCTTTTATCCAAAGCGACTTACAGTCATGTGTGCATACATTTTTACGTATGGGTGGTCCCGGGGATCGAACCCACTACCCTGGCGTTACAAGCGCCATGCTCTACCAATTGAGCTACAGAGGATTAGATAGGCTAGCTTTAACCCACTGCCCTACCAGTGCTACATGGAAAGGATAGCCCAGATAGGCAAAGCCCCAAACTTTGATATAGGCACGGCCCCAAACTCTGCTAGATAGACAGACAAGACCCCAAACTCTGCTATAGGCAAGGTCCCAAACTCTACTAGATGGACAAGGCCCCAAACTTTGATATAGACAAGTCCCAAAAGCAATGCAACAAACTCTAATTTTGGCAAGGCCTGAAACTCTGGCCAAAACTCTAATATAGGCAGGTCCCCGACTCGGCTGTAGGCAAAGCCCCCAAACTAACGTTAGACAGGCAAGGTCCCAAGTCTGTCTGACTGGGGTCTTTCATATCCTCTCTACATGGACAGCCTGCTCCCATAAAAACGTGACCCCTCTAAAATGTCATACTAGAGGCCAGTCAAGACACAAGGCTCTCTCTGTCTAGCTCCATTGTTAGTGAGAACGCGTCGTGTGAATCTGGAATGCCTTATGGGAGATTATCAGAAAGTACTGTAAACCTCTTTCAGTTCCACTGTAGTTTACCGTAAATTCACGGCTTAAAATGGCCATGCACAGAACTACTATTGGAAATGTGCAGTATGGAAACTATAAATATATCAATGTGTGTGGTAAATGTATTCTGAGTTTGGAATGTGTTCACAGGAACACGTAGGCCGTTCCACTATACTAGGATTGTCAGTAATCTGTAAAACATGTATCTGTTTTTGAGTCTGTCAGTGAGTGTGTGTGTGTGTGTAACCATACCTTTATCTCCCTCTGTTTGGTATGACTGAGTTGGGCCCTGAGTTTTCCCAGACCATGTTATCTGAACGGGAAGAACTCCAAGGCCCTTGGCCCTTAAGTTCTTCCTGTTCAGTTCACATGGTCAACAAATAAAAACTCACGGTCAAGAGCCTGGAGTTTTCCCTGGTCGAGTCACATGGTTAGAGAGAAACTTTTGGCCCTACCTATGTCCCACTGACGGCCGTTTTCTGCATCTTTCCAGGGGTGTGGAGCCGTACGACTCCCCCACCACGGTGCTGGTCCAGAGGCACGAGCCCCAGGGGGTGTCCAGCATCCTCAGCAGCACTGACTTCTTCCAGAGTGAGCAGAACCGCAGAGTCATCCTAGAGAGAGTGGACAACTTCCAGCTCCGGGACAAGTACATGTTCGCCACCACTTCCACAGTAAGTGACGTTGACCTGCAAGGGAATTATACATGACAGGCATTCTGTTGCTCTTGCAGTGTTGAGAATTCTCATGTTATTATGGAGAGGAATGCTCACATTGATTATTTTAACAACACAAATTGGGTGGTCCAGCCTTAACTATCTTCTAATACAGTGCCTTCAGAAAGTATTCACACCCCTTTACTTTTTCCACATTTTGTTGTTAAAACCTGAATTGAAAATGGATTAAATAGTGCAATAATAGTGTTTAACATTTATTTTTTAATGACTACCTCATCTCTGTACCCCACACATACAATTATCTGTAAGGTCACTCAGTCGAGCAGTGAATTTCAACCACAGATTCAACCACAAAGACCAGGGAGGTTTTTCAATACCTAGCAAATGAAGGACACCTATTGGTAGATGGGTAAACAAGAAATAAAAAAGCAGACATTGAATATCCCTTTGAGCATGGTGAAGTTATTAATTATACTTTGGATGGTGTATCAATATACCCAGTCACTACAAAGATACAGGCGTCCTTCCTAACTCAGTTGCCGGAGAGGAAGGAAACCGCTCAGGGATTTCACCAATGGTGACTTTAAAACAGTTACAGAGTTTAATGGCTGTGGTAGGAGAAAACTGAGGTTTGATTAACGACATTGTAGTTACTCCAAAATACTAACCTAATTGGCAGAGTGAAAAGAAGGCAGCCTGTACAGAATACAAATATTCCAAAACATGCATCTTGTTTGCAATAAGGCACTACAGTAAAACTGCAATTAGCAAAGAAATGAACTTTATGTCCTGAAAACAAAGCGTTATATTTGGGGCAAACGCAACGCAACACATCACTGAGTATCATATTTTCAAGCATGGTGGTGGCTGCATCATGTTATGGGTATGCTTGTCATCGGCAAGGACTAGGGAGTTTTTTAGGCTAAAAAGAAACGGAGTAGAGCTAAGCAAAGGCAAAACCCTAGAGGAGAACCTGGTTCAGTCTGCTTTCCAACAGACACTGGGAGACAAATTCACCTTTCAGCAGGACAATAACTTAAAACACAAGGCCAAATATATACCCCGGTTGCTTACCAAGATAACACAGAATGTTCCTGAGTGGCCTAGTTAATGTTTGACTTAAATGTTCTTAAAAATATATGGCAAGACTTAAATGGCTGTCTAGCAATGATCAACAACCAACTTGACAGAGCTTGAAGAATAAAATAAAATAATGATGTGCAAATATTGTGCAATCCAGGTATGCAAAGCTCTTAGAGACTTACCCAGAAAGCCTAACAGCTGTAATAGCTGCCAAAGGTTATTCTAACAAAGGTGATTCAGGGGTGTGAATACTTATGTAAATTAGATATTTCAGTATTTAATTTTCAATAAATGTGCAACAATGTCTAAAAACATTGTTTTCACTTTGTCATTATGGTGTATTGTTTGTAGATGGGTAAGAAAAACATCAATTTAATCAATTTTAAATTCAGGCTGTGACACAACAAAATGTGGAATAAGTTAAGGGGTATGAATACTTTCTGAAGGCACTAAGTCATTAGTCAAACCCATCATATTGAACTGGTAGGCTTAAATACCTAATAAGTCCACCACATGCATAGAATGGTTCTAAAGGGAGGATCTCTTATCCGTATCTGAAGTATTTGGCCTCCGTTAACCCCAGCAGTGTCTGATTGCGATAAAGTCGCATATTGTTTGTCATATGGAAGCCACTGCTGCTTTTTGAAACAGATGGAGACGGTTTGATCCCGGGCTCCTTCCTTAAATCAAATCAAATTGTATTTGCCACATGCGCCGAATACAACAGGTGTAGACCTTGCAGTGAAATGCTTACTTACAAGCCCTTAACCAACAATGCAGTTTTAAGAAAGAATACCAAAAACAATCACACAAAAAAATACAATATAAAATAATACGAAATAAAAGTAACAAATAATTAAAGAGCAGCAGTAAAAATAACAATAGTGAAGCTATATACAGGGGGTACCGGTACCGAGTCAATGTGCGGGGGCACCGGTTAGTCGAGGTAATTGAGGTAATACAGTTGAAGTCGGAAGTTTACATACACTTAGGTTGGAGTCATTAACACTTGTTTTTCAACCACTCCACACATTTATTGATAACAAACTATAGTTTTGGCAAGTCGGTTAGGACATCTACTTTGTACATGACACAAGTAATTTTTCCAACAATTGTTTACAGACAGATTATTTCACTCATAATTCACTGTATCACAATACCAGTGGGTCAGAAGTTTACATACACTAAGTTGACTGTGCCTTTTTAAACAGCTTGGAAAATTCCAGAAAATGATGTCATGGCTTTAGAAGCTAATTTACATTATTTGAGTCAGTTGGAGGTGTACCTGTGGATGTATTTCAAGGCCTACCTTCAAACTCAGTGCCTCTTTGCTTGACATCATGGGAAAATCAAAAGAAATCAGCCAAGACCTCAGAAAAACAAATGGTAGACCTCCACAAGTCTGGTTCATCCTTGGGAGCAATTTCCAAACGCCTGAAGGTACAACGTTCATCTGTACAAACAATAGTACGCAAGTATAAACACCATGGGACCACGCAGCCGTCATACCGCTCAGGAAGGAGTCGCGTTCTGTCTCCTAGAGATGAATGTACTTTGGTGCGAAAAGTGCAAATCAATCCCAGAACAACAGCAAAGGACCTTGTGAAGATGCTGGAGGAAACAGGTACACATGTATCTACAGTGAGGGAAAAAAGTATTTGATCCCCTGCTGATTTTGTACGTTTGCCCACTGACAAAAACATGATCAGTCTATAATTTTAATGGTAGGTTTATTTGAACAGTGTGAGACAGAATAACAACAAAAAAATCCAGAAAAACACATGTCAAAAATGTTATAAATTGATTAGCATTTTAATGAGGGAAATAAGTATTTGACCCCTCTGCAAAACATGACTTAGTACTTGGTGGCAAAACCCTTGTTGGCAATCACAGAGGTCAGACGTTTCTTATAGTTGGCCACCAGGTTTGCACATATCTCAGGAGGGATTTTGTCCCACTCCTCTTTGCAGATCTTCTCCGAGTCATTAAGGTTTCGAGGCTGATGTTTGGCAACTCAAACCTTCAGCTCCCTCCACAGATTTTCTATGGGATTAAGGTCTGGAGACTGGCTAGGCCACTCCAGGTCCTTAATGTGCTTCTTCTTGAGCCACTCCTTTGTTGCCTTGGCTGTGTGTTTTGGGTCATTGTCATGCTGGAATACCCATCCACGACCCATTTTCAATGCCCTGGCTGAGGGAAGGAGGTTCTCACCCAAGATTTGACGGTACATGGCCCCCTCCATCGTCCCTTTGATGCGGTGAAGTTGTCCTGTCCCCTTAGCAGAAAAACACCCCCAAAGCATAATGTTTCCACCTCCATGTTTGACGGTGGGGATGGTGTTCTTGGGGTCATAGGCAGCATTCCTCCTCCTCCAAACACGACGAGTTGAGTTGATGCCAATGAGCTCCATTTTAGTCTCATCTGAACACTTTCACCCAGTTCTCCTCTGAATCATTCAGATGTTCATTGGCAAACTTCAGACGGGCCTGTATATGTGCTTTCTTGAGCAGGGGGACCTTGCGGGCGCTGCAGGATTTCAGTCCTTCACGGCGTAGTGTGTTACCAATTGTTTTCTTGGTGACTATGGTCCCAGCTGCCTTGAGATCATTGACAAGATCCTCCCGTGTAGTTCTGGGCTGATTCCTCACCGTTCTCATGATCATTGCAACTCCACGAGGTGAGCTCTTGCATGGAGCCCCAGGCCGAGGGAGAATGACAGTTCTTTTGTGTTTCTTCCATTTGCGATTAATCACACAAACTGTTGTCACCTTCTCACCAAGCTGCTTGGCGATGGTCTTGTAGCCCATTCCAGCCTTGTGTAGGTCTACAATCTTGTCCCTGACATCCTTGGAGAGCTCTTTGGTCTTGGCCATGGTGGAGAGTTTGGAATTTTATTAATTGATTGCTTCTGTGGACAGGTGTCTTTTATACAGGTAACAAACTGAGATTAGGAGCACTCCCTTTAAGAGTGTGCTCCTAATCTCAGCTCGTTACCTGTATAAAAGACACCTGGGAGCCAGAAATCTTTCTGATTGAGAGGGGGTCAAATACTTATTTCCCTCATTAAAATGCAAATCAATTCATAACATTTTTGACATGCGTTTTTCTGGATTTTTTTGCTGTTATTCTGTCTCTCACTGTTCAAATAAAACTACCATTAAAATTATAGACTGATCATTTCTTTGTCAGTGGGCAAAGGTACAAAATCAGCAGGGGATCAAATACTTTTTTCCCTCACTGTATATCCACAGTAAAACGAGTCCTATATCGACATAACCTGAAAGGCCGCTCAGCAAGTAAGAAGCCACTGCTCCAAAACCGCCATAAAAAAGCCATACTACGGTTTGCAACTGCACATGGGGACAAAGATCGTACTTTTTGGAGAAATGTCCTCTGGTCTGATGAAACAAAAATATAACTGTTTGGCCATAATGACCATCGTTATGTTTGGTGGAAAAAGGGGGTAATTTACAAGCCGAAGAACATCATCCCAACCGTGAAGCACGGGGGTGGCAGCATCATGCTGTGGGGATGCTTTACTGCAGGAGGGACTGGTGCACTTCACAAAAACAGTGGGGGAAAAAAGTATTTAGTCATCCACCAATTGTGCAAGTTCTCCCACTTAAAAAGATGAGAGAGGCCTGTAATTTTCATCATAGGTACACGTCAACTATGACACAAAAATGTATGCACGCATGACTGTAAGTCGCTTTGGATAAAAGCGTCTGCTAAATGGCATATTATTATTATATTATTATATGACAGACAAAATGACACAAGAAAATCCAGAAAATCACATTGTAGGATTTTTTATGAATTTATTTGCAAATTATGGTGGAAAATAAGTATTTGGTCAATAACAAAAGTTTCTCAATACTTTGTTATTATATACCCTTTGTTGGCAATGACACAGGTCAAACGTTTTCTGTAAGTCTTCACAAGGTTTTCAC